CTTTGATCGCTCTAACCTTGTCAATAAAGAAACTCAGAAACTCTGTGCAACCTGCTCTGCACTGCGCTGCGACAGCAGCAGCAGCAGGAGAGACAATAGAGTTTATGGTGTCAAAGAGCACCTTGGGGTTTCTCTTATTGGAGACAATCAACTGCTGAAAATATTTTGATCTGGCCTCCTCTAATTGATTGTTTAGAGAGGCGACAAGGTCCCTCAGATGCAGTCTGTGAACCTCAAGTTTGGTGGAGTGCCACAAGCTCAAACTCACCTCGTACAGCACATTCTGTAATCTGTATGTTTTTAGAATGATCCATTTGTTTGTTTTGTTTGGATCTATGTATGTATCTATCTATCTACAGAGGGTGACAGTAGCTCAGTTGGTAGAGCCTTTGAGCCAGAGGGTCGTGGGTTCGAGCCTGACCTTCACCATCGACTCCCACTGTCTGCTGTCCTTGAGCAAGACACTTAACCTCTGGGAACGGCAGCCACAGTGGGGCGGCTGAGGCTGTAAAGTGCTAAACTGTGGTTGTGTCCTTAGGCAAGACACTTCCCCCACATTAGAATGAGTCTGGTGTGTGTGTGAAAAGTGGTGGTGGGAGGGGCTGATGGCACAGACTGGTTGCCTCACTTCTGTCAGTGTGCCCCAGGGCAGCTGTGGTTACAGTAATTTATCACCACCGTGTTTGGAGAAAATGAAAAATGATTTGAAGCGTCTTTGAGAGTCTAAAAAAGCGCTGTATAAAACGCATTATTATTATTATCATCTATCTATCTATCCATCTATACTACATTTAAAAACTTCCATTGAAGAAGCTGCTTTTGTGTTCAGAGATAAACTAATCCACGGTTTGGGAGCAGCAACAGCAAAGTCCCGGTCTCCTCGAGTTTTGAGATAAAATCTGAGCATATTCAACAAAACGTGAGTAACACGAGTCACAAACTAGGACCAAGCACACGTTTAGTTCTGCTCAAATACTTTAATTATCTGAACTTATTCAATTTAATTCTTTTAGATCCAGATTGAGAGAACTGTTTTTACAATTACTAATTTGATGAAATTGTATGAAACTGTTTTATAATCTGTAATTTTATGTAACTTTTATCCAGTACTCACTTGAAAGATTAAGATTAAGAGATCTTTTATCCGACCCACAGTGAAGACATTTCAAAAATAGGTTCTTAATCTCTGGACTAGCTCTACACTCTCCACCGGATACTCAAGGGTTCATGGGAGTTCGCCCAACCTGTCCACATGTGCTTTGTGGATTTGGAGAAGGCGTTCGACCGTGTTCTTTGGGGGGTCCTCCGTGAGTACGGGGTCCGGGGTCCCTGTATGACCGGAGCCAGAGCTGTGTTCGCATTGCCGGCAGTAAGTCAGACCTGTTCCCGGTGCATGTTGGCCTCCGCCAGGGCTGCCCTTTGTCACCGGTTCTGTTCACTGTATTTATGGACAGAATTTCTAGGCGCAGCCAGGGGTCGGAGGGGGTCCGGTTTGGGGACCACAGGATTTCATCTCTGCTGTTTGCAGACGATGTTGTCCTGTTGGCTCCAACGAACCAGGACCTGCAGCATGCACTGGGACGGTTTGCAGCCGAGTGTGAAGCGGCTGGGATGAGAATCAGCACCTCCAAATCTGAGGCCATGGTGCTCGACCGGAAAAAGGTGCCTTGCCCTCTACAGGTGGGTGGAGAGGTCCTTCCTCAAGTGGAGGAGTTCAAGTATCTCGGGGTCTTGTTCACGAGTGAGGGAAGAATGGAGCGTGAGATTGACAGGCGGATCGGTGCAGCGTGCGCAGTGATGCGGTCGCTGTATCGGACCGTTGTGGTAAAGAGGGAGCAGCGTCTGCAGTCAGAGCTGTATCGGACCGTTGTGGTAAAGAGGGAGCAGCGTCTGCAGTCAGAGCTGTATCGGACCGTTGTGGTAAAGAGGGAGCAGCGTCTGCAGTCAGAGCTGTATCGGACCGTTGTGGTAAAGAGGGAGCAGCGTCTGCAGTCAGAGCTGTATCGGACCGTTGTGGTAAAGAGGGAGCAGCGTCTGCAGTCAGAGCTGTATCGGACCGTTGTGGTAAAGAGGGAGCTGAGCCGAAAGGCAAAGCTCTCGATTTACCGGTCAATCTTCGTTCCCTCCCTCACCTATGGTCATGAGCTTTGGGTAATGACCGAAAGAACGAGATCACGGATACAAGCGGTCGAAATGAGCTTCCTCCGCAGAGTGGCTGCTCCCTTAGAGATAGGGTGAGGAGCTCAGTCATATGGGAGGAGCTCGGAGTAGAGCCGCTGCTTCTCCACGTCGAGAGGAACCAGTTGAGGTGGCTCGGGCATCTGTTCAGGATGCCTCCTGGACGCCTCCCTGGGGAGGTGTTCCGGGCACGTCCCACCGGGAGGAGGCCCCGGGGAAGACCCAGGACACGCTGGGGGGACTATGTCTCGCAGCTGGCCTGGGAACGCCTTGGGGTCCCCCCGGACGAGCTGGAGGAAGTGTGTGTGGATAGGGAAGTCTGGGCGTCTCTGCTTAGACTGCTGCCCCCGCGACCCGGCAACGGATAAAGCGGAAGAAAATGGATGGATGGATGGATGGTTCTTAATCTCGTTCCTGGTTCAATAAATTCTGTTTCCCAACATTTGATATATATTTTAGATTGTTTAACTACAAAAATCCCCGTTCCATTATTCTTCACAAACGGCAAACTGCGATATATTCTGCGAGAGAATCTGATTCCTGCTCCTTTTGGCCAAAACATGTGTGTATACTAATGTGAAAAAAACAGAAAACACATCACTTTCCATGCAACGCGGCCAACTGGGGAAAAATACTTTGAAAATATCACGTTTTCGTCTATTTCCCACGAGAATCTCTAGTTTTTCCGCGTGTCCTTGGGAGCCCTCTGCAATCTTCTTTGCTGCGGTTTCGTCTTCACCTCGTCGTGGACCTCCATATTTCCTTCCTCCCACTGGGACTGAGACAGTTCTCGGGCTGACAAGGCTCTCCCGGTGCTGCTCCTACTGTTGGTCTGACAATTCTTTTACCAAACTCCTCTGGGTTTTAAACAAGACTTTGAAGATTCAAATCACCAAGTAATGGTCTTGTGTTTTTGTAAATTGCTCCCCTAACAAAGATGGATGTGTTGATTGGACTGGACGAGGCTGTCGACGTGTACTTGGTAACGGCCGGGGAAGTTGTTCTGTTTTTTTTTTTTTAAATCATGAATAACACATTGTTTTCTCCAAGAGGAAGAGTCTTGTTAAAGTAAAATGTTGTGAATATCAAACCACAGCAGCCCAGTGAGTCACTATAGTAGTAGTAGTAGTAGTAGGTCGTAGTAGTAGTAGTAGCAGTGGTAGTAGTCTATATTTATTTATTTATTGTTTATTTGGTTGGGACAGTACATGTTAAAGAACACATCACTCCAGATTGTAGCGTTGGGCTAATTTCCATCCGTTGTTTCCCACAGTCGCACTCACAAACACACACTCATTCACCCTGAACTATTGTGCATGTTTTTAGTGGTAGGGGAAACCGGAGCACCCGGAGGAAACCTACGCAGACACAGGGAGAACATGCAAAGTCCACTCAGAACCCAGAACCTTCTTGCTGAGAGGCGAGAGTGCTATCCACTCAGCCACCCAAGTAGTGGTGGTAGTAGTAGTAGTAGTAGCAGTAGCAGTAGTAGTAGTAGTAGTAGTAGTAGCAGTAGCAGTAGCAGTAGTAGTAGTAGTAGTAGTAGTAGTAGTAGTAGTAGTAGTAGTAGTAGCAGTAGTAGTAGTAGTAGTAGTAGTAGTAGTAGTAGTAGTAGCAGTAGTAGTAGTAGTAGTAGTAGTAGCAGTAGTAGTAGTTGTAGTAGTAGTAGTAGTAGTAGAGGTAGTAGTAGTAGCAGTTGTAGTAGTAGTAGCAGTAGTAGTAGTAGAGGTAGTAGTAGTAGTTGCAGTTGTAGTAGTAGTAGCAGTAGTAGTAGTAGAGGTAGTAGTAGTAGCAGTTGTAGTAGTAGTTGCAGTAGTAGTAGTAGTAGTAGTAGAGGTAGTAGTAGTAGCAGTTGTAGTAGTAGTAGCAGTAGTAGTAGTAGAGGTAGTAGTAGTAGTTGCAGTTGTAGTAGTAGTAGCAGTAGTAGTAGTAGAGGTAGTAGTAGTAGTAGCAGTAGTAGTTGCAGTTGTAGTAGTAGTAGCAGTAATAGTAGTAGAGGTAGTAGTAGTAGTAGCAGTTGTAGGTTGAAGCAAAAACTTGTTTCCTCCCGCTTTTTACATTTTCTTTCTTTTACAGAATTGCAAATGATTCAGTTCAATTCTTACAATTTTCTCTTAATTATAATTGACACTTGTTTCCATAAATAGTCATATTTGAAACTATGTGAGGCTTTGGGCTGAATCAATCAAATAACAGTAATTAAAGACATAATGAGTCCATAGGGAGCGGGATGTTCACAAATGTCCTTCAAGGTTCCAGATTCTCACCGGGGCGACACGGTGGCTGAGTGGTTTGCCCTCTCGCTTCTCAGCATGAAGCATCCCGGTCGGAACAGGACCTTTCTGAGTGGAGTTTTTTCACATTTTCTCAAAAAACATGAAAACGAGTCCGGCCCTAATCGACGTTGCCCTGGAGTGAATGCTTGGCCACTCCTACAGCAGAGCAAAGACTCAACCCTTTCCATGTGTCCGCTTTTCAACTGGTTTTTCCTGGACTCACTCACCATGAACTTGAATCCATTACCACCCACATAGTATTTCCGCGTCCGTCCGATTGTCCTCCTGCCGCTGACACATGCTCATGTCTCCGGTGCGGACAGATAAGACATTCATCTCACTCCCGCTGTGGCGTTCGGACAAATTGCAAAGTTTGGCAGAGAGCGGCGCTGGGGAGCCTTTTTGATGGGCGTCTGTCTGGAGCTCCACAATTAGATTGATTTGTGGAGGAGCTGCTGCTGACGAATGTGAAGACGCAGGGTCGGTTTATTGAGGGCTGTTACTGAGCCAGAGGAGGTGACTCAGCGCCGGGGTAAGAGAACACTGATGAAATTTGCCCTGGAACCATCGGGTAATGAGGGGTTTGTCATTAGGAGGAGAGGATACGACACCAGCCGCATCAGCAGTAGGACGAGCACAACCCAGTCAAGTACAGACACACGGAACCACAGACATAAAGGTACATATGAGCGTATTCTACTTTAAGGTCCTATATCAGGATTTTCTTCATGTTTCACACTCAGTCCTCTGCACATGTGTGATATTAATGTGTATGATACACCACACAACAATCAAAGCTTGTGAGATTAGAGCCATCTCTTGTATAGAGGTGACGTCACCTCGACTCAAACGAGCTGATCCAGAGTCTGCTCCTCTGCCTGTGAGCCCGCCTCCCCCCGCCCTCACCCGCCTCCCCCCGCCCTCACCCGCCTCCCCCCGCCCTCACCCGCCCTCACCCGCCTCCCCCCGCCCTCACACGCCTCCCCCCGCCCTCACCCGCCTCCCCCCGCCCTCACCCGCCTCCCCGCCCCCCCGCCCTCACCCGCCTCCCCCCGCCCGCACGCTGACGTAGCATCACGCTTTTGTCGTTTATCACCTGTACTTAGTCATTTCATACATAAGAATAAACTTTTTCCAACAATGACAATCCGTCACATGGAGCCCTATGTCCTCGATGCACAATCAGACCCTAGTTATTTAGTTTACAGAAGTATACAGCGAGTTAGCGTCACTACTTACAGATCGAGGGGGTCCGAGTTACGTCTTTTACCGTGGGAATAACGTGTTTCCACATCAGCCTTTGAGTAAGTCCAGTTCCATTGTCCCTGTAGTTCTGGAACAGTCTCAGTGAAGTGTCGCAGATGAACCGGTTTATAATAGATCCATGAGATGAACAGATGAAAAAAGTCGAGCCGCTTTCTTCCTCTTAGGGCCAAATAGTGTGTCACATATTTACACCCATAACACACTTCATTCAAGTTGACGTAACACTTTTAGTTTCTGACAAAAGCATAAAAACAGCAGCTCTATGTGGTGTCCGCGAGACCAGACCACAGACGCTGGACTCGGGAGCCGGAGCCTGTGCGCTCTGATTCGCTGTTTTGATCCGTCAATCACCTCCCGCCGGCTTTTAATTTATTTTTATTTTTATTATTTTGGACAAAAAACAGCATACTAATTGTGTATTGTTTACCCCGTTTTGACAAAAGTATTTAACAACTATTTTAAATACAAAGCAAACGGGGTCATGCGCGTCATCAGTGTGGTTTTCGTCACTGAAGTGGACCCGAGCGTTTCTGTGCCTCACGCTGGGGAAGGACACAGATTGTTCTCTTACAAAAGATTGACAGAATCAATGAATAAACTACTGTGGGCTTGTGTATGAGGCCAAATAGCTGTAATCATGTTTAAAGCAGAGAAAAGTCAAAAACCGTGATATAGGCCCTTTAAGAGTTCCTTTATTCGTCCCACAGTGGGGAAATTTCGATGTTGCAGCGCACAGACAAGACAGTAGTAAGAGACACAGGGAGCACACACAATATATACAAAATAAGTAGTAGCTATGTTTCTTAAATAACATAACTAGCTGTAGATGCTGAAAATGCTTCAATACCAGTCAAAAAATATGTACATGTAGTAGTGCAGTTATATACTGTACAGTTAAATAGTGCAGGATGATGAGTAGATAAGTAAAGTGACATGAGGTAAAGTGACATGAGGTAAAGAGAAATTGTTCAATGGATATCCTGAAGTTTCAGTATTGCACATTTACTTATTTACAGATTAATTAAATTTACAGGCTCAGCAGTTCTTATTGTACAGTCTGACAGCAGCAGGAAGGAAAGACCTACGGAACCTCTCCTTCACACATCGAGGGTGAATTAGTCTGTCACTGAAGCTGCTCTCCAGAGCAGAGAGAGTGTCCTGCAGGGGGCGACAGTCATGGACCAGCATAGATGTTAGTTTGCTCAGGACCCTCCTGTCCCCAACCTGCTGCACTGTGTCCAGGGAACAGCCCAGGACTGAGCTGGACTTCCTGATGTTCCAGCTTCTTCCTGTCCCTCTCTGTGATGCTGCTGTTCCAGCAGACCACACCGTACAAGAGGCTCCACCACAGAGTCATAGAAGGTCTTCAGGAGTGGCCTCTGCACTCCAAAAGACGCCCTTCTTGAAGAGGGCGTCTGTGTTATGAGTCCAGTCCAGTTTGTGGTTCAGATGAACACCCAGGTACTTGTAAGAGTCCACTCTCTTGATGTCCTTTCCCTGGATGTTCACTGGGGCTGGAGCGGCAGAGTGACGTCTGCGGAAATCCACCACCATCTCCTTGGTCTTCCTTCTTTCCGGGAGGGTCATCAAGACTATTGGTCCTCCTAATTGTCAATCATTCTGTTGACACGTGCTCGTCAATCAAAAAGTGGAGAGGGCGGTTCTTGGGAAAAATTGGGAAAATCCTTCTATATACCTTTAACAAGTCGGATAATGCGGCTTGAAGTGAAAATGTTGATTATTTGTGTGTGCATATTTTACCCAATGGCTGCATGAGTGGTCAACAAGGCACCTTTACTTTTTATACCAAGGAGAGGAAAGGTAAAGCAAGTTTATTTGCAGAAGCGACCCTGGGTTCCTAAAAGGCACAGAAAGAACAGGGACTACAGGTACAAATTAGCACCGCTGCTACAACCTGGAACAAAACACCTCTCCTCTTGGCGAATGTTTATTGTACACTGTTTGTAAAATAGAAACCATACCATAGCATAGGGAAACAATGAAACAGAATAGTGAGAAAATCTTTCAAAAAATATAAATGTAAAAAAATATATACATACATTTGCACAAATAAACATGGATACATCTGTAATAATAATACAAATTATAATTATAATAATTATGAAAAGAGTCCGAGTCTATGTATATGTCTGATTTTAACAGTTCGATCTGTGTGGTCTTTGCCCTTTCACGATGGTCACCTTAAATACTGTCACTTTATCCTGCACTGAACTTTGGACCTAATGGTCGAGGGTTCGAGTCCACCACGACCCATGTCAACTGCTCCCACTGATGTCTGCTGTTGTTGTGTCCCTGGGCAAGACACTTAACCCCCCATTGCCCGAAGGCCATGCTGAAAGACCAAGGCCATCTCGCCGATGACGAAGAAGCCATCATCCTGTGGACCCACCAACTGCAGGAGAATCGGCGAGGGACTGGTGCTGTGAGACTTGGGTGGCATGAAATGAAATGAAATGATGAAATAAAAAAAAAAAAAAAGTGTGTACCTAGTGTGCATTTGATGTGTGCAATGATGTAGACTCTGACATTGTGGACTATTAATGTGTGGCCTGTGCGGGAATACAAGCTGTTTTTTTCTCTCTCTTCTTTTGTTTCTGTTGTTGTTGCTGTATTTAACCCGTGTGACCCTGACCCTCTAGGACTACAGATGGAAATTAGCCTTTGACTGTGATCTAGCATGTTTACATTCATGTTTCTGATGTGTCTCTTCATCAACATGCACTGTCCCATTCAAATAAATAAGTACATAGTAGTAGTAGTATTTTTATGGATTCTTTAAATCTATTTTTACTTTCATAACTTCTTTGTATCTTCCTAGTTTGTGACTTCCCATTTCGTATACTGCCGATAGAAACCCGCCTTACCGAGCAGAGAAGGCTTATATTATGTCCTGTTGCTCCTTACACCATAATCCTCTTTAACAAACTTGTACCACTACCATCGCTTCAAAGCCTCTCGATGCAGACGGCTGTCACACCGTCTGATTCCACACGGTTTTCTGTCATTCCAGGACACGTCTCTCGTTACCGGCCTTGGAGTGGATTTTTTATTATTCATCACAGGCTTCTCTCTCCACAGAAATCGGCGCAAACGTCTGAAGAGTGCGTTCTCCCCCGAGAGCGGCCAAAGAAAAACTTGTGCAGGACAGAGGCAATGGCAGATAGCACCGCGGACACTAACCGAAGAAACACTCAGACTCAAACTTTTAAAAACAATGGGAAAGCATGGACTGCGGCGAAGTTGATCAGAGGACGGACGCCGAGGCAACTGCTGTTCGTGACGCCAACCAACACCAACCAACACCAACCAACACCAACCAACGCCAACCAACACCAACCAACACCAACCAACACCAACCAACACCAACCAACACCAACCAACGCCAACCAACACCAACCAACACCAACCAACGCCAACCAACACCAACCAACACCAACGAACGCCAACCAACACCAACCAACACCAACCAACACCAACCAACGCCAACCAACACCAACCAACACCAACCAACACCAACCAACACCAACCAACACCAACCAAACCAACCAACGCCAACCAACGCCAACCAACGCCAACCAACACTAACCAACACCAACCAACGCCAACCAACACCAACCAACACCAACCAACGCCAACCAACACCAACCAACACCAACGAACGCCAACCAACACCAACCAACGCCAACCAACACCAACCAACACCAACCAACGCCAACCAACACCAACCAACACCAACCAACGCCAACCAACACCAACCAACACCAACCAACACCAACCAACGCCAACCAACACCAACCAACACCAACCAACGCCAACCAACACCAACCAACGCCAACCAACACCAACCAACACCAACCAACGCCAACCAACACCAACCAACACCAACCAACACCAACCAACACCGACCAACACCAACCAACGCCAACCAACACCAACCAACGCCAACCAACGCCAACCAACGCCAACCAACATCAACCAACACCAACCAACACCAACCAACACCAACCAACGCCAACCAACACCAACCAACACCAACCAACACCAACCAACGCCAACCAACACCAACCAACACCAACCAAACACCAACCAACACCAACCAACACCAACCAACACCAACCAACGCCAACCAACACCAACCAACGCCAACCAACACCAACCAACACCAACCAACACCAACCAACACCAACCAACGCCAACCAACGCCAACCAACACCAACCAACACCAACCAACACCAACCAACGCCAACCAACGCCAACCAACGCCAAACAACACCAACCAACGCCAACCAACGCCAACCAACGCCAACCAACACCAACCAACACCAACGAACGCCAACCAACACCAACCAACACCAACCAACACCAACCAACACCAACCAACACCAACCAACACCAACCAACACCAACCAACGCCAACCAACACCAACCAACACCAACCAACACCAACCATCAAATACTTCTGTCATGAAAGGGCTCCCACTCTGAGCAGGGTTAGGCCGAGGCTGTGATGGGTGAGTCTTTCTCCCACTGTTTTCCATGAATCTGAGAGGGCTTCAAGTTGATCCAAGACGACCCATTTAATGATCTAGATCCTGGAGCTTTTTAAAAAATGTCTGAAAATGGAGTAGGAGGACTATATTTTGTTTCCAGTTTGAATGTAGTTTCTGTAGGAGGAAAAACATTTTTAACGTTTTTAAATGCTGTAAAAATGTGCATAAGTAATATTCAATTTCAACATTTCTGTCAACGTAGTGCGTCATATCCGGTGACGCGGCGCCACGCCAGGCAGCTGCTGTGGTAAACAAACCGGCGTGTGAGCACGGATCCCAAAGCTAAAAAGAGAAAGTCAAAAATAAAACTGGACGAAGAACAAGAACATTTGCTTTCAGTCGATGAGGAGGGACTGCTTCATGTTTGTAATGAGAAGTTTTGTTGCAACACGAGGAACAATGAAGCGCTAAACACTGTTCACGGTGATTACGTGAAGGATTCATTCATCACTAATTCAGAGCACCAATTTTCAGACTTCAAAACCTTCTCAAAGACGGTGAAAGAAGCTGAATTATTGTCCTTGATGACCCTCAATTAAGGACATTAATTCAGCTCCAGCCAACTTCAGCCTGTGATGTGATGGATATGAACAGACAGTGCTGCAGGTGAACTCTGAGCCAAAAAGCAGATTTATTTACTGTATTTCTACATTTGCACGAAGGCAAAAAAATGGAAGTTAAAGTTGAAGCAGAGTCGTCACGTGGTGCGTCAGTCTCTCCAGGACACGCTGCAGTGAAAACACACATTTGATAATCATGGATGCTTATTATGTATTTGTAGCCTTTGTCATTTAGATATTAGGCTAATATACTGTTGCTAATGCAGCTGGAGCATGTGTTACCTTCATATAAACCTCATACAAGGCTCCAGACAGATGTTTTTAGTTTTTTTGTCAAATATGGCTCTGAACCTTTTGAGTTCCCGATCCCTGATCTAGATCCAAGGCTAAAGTGAATTCAATTTCGATTCAATATATTCTTGTGCAGCCCTAAATCACAACCGTAGTGATCTTGGTGGACTTTGCATAAAACAGTGAGTTGGCCAACACGGATGAGAATAAAACGGTTCAAACACAAAAAATAAAACCGAAAACACTTTGGTATCGGTCCATAAGGGGCAGAGACCAATGTCCATAAGTGTTGATACATGTTAGCTAGCTATACATGTGGTGTTTGCGTCTGTAAATACACAATTATCAGAAAATGGAGAGTATATCGCTCTCCGTCAGCGTATATTGTATATTTCTCCAGTGTGAGATCAATAAAGTCTATCTTATCTTATCGTTTACATTTATAGACAATCTTTTTGACATTTCCCATATGGACCATTCTCTCTAGTTTTATTTGTTTTAATCATTGCATTTCTTTGATTCTCTGATCTGTGTTGGTGAATCGACTGCGCACTACTGTGATTTAGGACGATACAAGAATACATCAAACTGAATTATAAATCGGAATACATAGGAAGTACAAGTAAACTATTGGAATTACTTTGCATATTTGTGTTTTTACCAACATGCTGGTATCAGAAGCTTTTGGCCCAAACACGTCTCCCCGCCCCTTCCGTCTAAATGCTCCCGTCTCAAACTTGGCACAGTATATGAATCCTTACACTATTGCATTCTACCAAAAGAAAACTGCAAATTAGTCTTAAAAGTTTATCACAAATTGTGTCCTTTACAAACGAGCGGCTGCATATGTCTGATGTTTACAAAAGATTTTATAACTTATTATTTTATTAGTTCACATTCTCAAACTGGAAATGTGTGAGAGGCTAGTAAAGACTCTCATTATGTTTCCAATCTTCGTCCTAACATATATAAAAGATTATTAGTGGCTATTTTATTGTTTATAATCGATTGACTCAGCATTTCCTGTGTTTTTATCTTGTTCTGTTTTTATGTCCTGTGCTGTTCAAATGAATTGCCCCCGGTGGCAATAAAGTAATCTGAAGACCCAAGAAATTAGTCTGAGTTTAGTTCTGGACTTTGGTGGCCGTACAGTACCTGCATGTGAAGCCAGATCCCATCAGACCTTTGGGACTGAGCAGGGCAGCACCTGGTTAGTACTGTGATGGGAGACCTCTGTGAAGACCACAGAGGGGCAGCTGTAAAGTGTCAAACTGCTGTTGTGTTCTTCGGCAAGACACTTCCCCTTATAATAGAATGAGTCTGGTGTGTGTGTGAATGGTTGTTGGTGATCAGAGGGGCCTATTCTGTCAGTGTGCCCCAGGGCAGCAGTGGCTACAATAGTTTATCACCACCATGTATAGTCTAAAATCTCTACAGATGCATTATTATTATTGTTACTAGTCTGACAGTGGTGTGGACAGCTCTCTGAAGTATGAAAAGGTATAAATATGTTTCTATTACTTCATTTTGTGACACGTGACATATCTTAGTCATGTCATTGTCCTCCTCTTTGACATAATATGACTAAAATACCACAATATGAAGGAACAGAAACTTAAACAGACCCTTTAGTCTACTTCGGAATACAGCAATATGGAGAAGGATCAAGTTTTCACCTCTGTTGCAATCTCTTCATGCCCGGTTCTGAAATATAAGGCTGAATTTTTAGCAAAGCACAAAGCCTTGATTGAGCGATTCTATTTTTAGGAGTCCTCTTGGGCAGATAAAGGCCCCGGAGTGACCCCAGTTCTAGACACAATAATTCAATCGAGCCATAACTGCCACTCTCGGCTCTCCTCAGCGGCTGCAAATAACAAATCATCCGATGTATCTTTAAAGCGTGTGTGTCAAGCACTGTTGGTGTGACGGAGAATTTATGCAAATGTAAGATTTTTTTTCACTCCTCCATCCGTAACAAAATAATGTCATGTGTGTGAGACGCGAGCCTCCTCCTCCTCCTCACCTGTGAAAGCCAGATCTCATCAGACTGAAGCCCCCAAATGTTGCATTTCTTGTGTTGAGCTTATAGACTGTAAATATTAACAATCGTAGTCACACCCATCTCTGTCGTTGAAACTAATGTGCCAACACTTTTGGCTTCTATGGGGCTTTTTCAGAATGTCCGCAGGCAGCCCCTCCTGCAGGAAAATGTGAATAAACTATTTGCAAACGCGTTACCTTTACCAGCCGCATTAATTTAACGAGTGCCTTCTGAAGTCCACAGCGGCTAAACTAGACTGGTCCAAGAGAATGTACTCCCTTCAGCATTGACAGCATCCGGAACATAGGTTTTTGGACCATCCTGTGAAGACGTTTCCAGAGGAAAAAAAAGACGGGATACAAAAGCATTGGATAATTCTCTTTCCGGGTACACCCCCACTGTTCATAGGCCTCAGGAGCAGTGGTCGCCGGCTTGGTCAGGACCAGAGCTGGATGATTAAACAAAATAATAATGATAAAATTAAAAAGTGAACAAAAAAATGAAACAATAAAACACATTGTTCTAGCAAATATATATTTTGAGTTTGAAACCAGTAAAATTTATTTTATTTTATTTTGTACAGAGTTGTTATATATACTATAGTAGCTAATGACCTGTATGTGACGTGATGGATGGGCTCACATCAGAATAATATTCATTTTAAGTATTGTAAATATTGTCTTCCTGTAAGTAACAGGAAGTAACAGACTGGGGAATTGCTTTAGTTCTGGGTGTAGAGAAGTCAAAAGTAGAGAAAGAATATGGTATAATAAAAAAGTTTTCTAAAATTTAAAAAATCGTTTAAGTAAGATGCTTCAGCTCAATACTTCTTTGGTTGTAATAAAGTCAGTGAATTTAAAATCTGTTATTAATCAAACAAAACAATTGACCAAAATAAAATACATTCATTCATTCATTCAGTAATTCTCAGATCCGTGTCTTCGAATTTCAACAGCTTTGCAAAGTCTTCCAACATAACAACTGTTGTGATTTAGGGCTATAAGATAACACAGACTTTATTGATCTCACATTGGAGAAATGTACAATAAACAAGAATAAAAGTTCAATCGAAGCCTGTTTTTGATGAGGAGAAGATCAAATACCTGGATGCCATCTACTTTCTGCACAGAGGTGGACTTTTCCTGACCGTCCAAAGGTCTTTTATGGGTGTTAATAAAAGCATAAAACTTGCTCTGTGGTATCAACTGCACATGTGACTCAGGTCTGGAGTTTATGACGTGAATACAGTTAGGGATTGTAGATTCCTCACTCCTGATCCGAGCACGATGGCAGACACGCAGATGTGGGAAACGTTCTGACCTGTTCCATTTGTCTGGACACCTTCACGGAGCCGGTGTCTCTGAGCTGTCAGCACACCTTCTGCCGCCGCTGTCTGCAGCAGCACTGGGCCCAGGAGCAAAGCAAGACCTGTCCGGTTTGCAAGAGGAGGTCTTCGAATGATGATGTAGGCTTGGACTTTACTTTAAAACAACTGAGCGACGCAGTCAAGCCAAACATGCAGCTCTCAGACCCTTCAGAGCAGCTGAAGGAGAAGACCCCAGCACCAGCACCAGCAGAGACCAAGCAGTGGTCGGTGTGTCCGGTCCACCCTCAAGTACCCCCTCTCTTTTGCATGGACGAGTGTCGGTGCATCTGTGCGGTCTGCGAGTTCTCTGACCACAAAGATCACGAAGTTCTGAGTGAAAAGGAGGCGGAGAGGAGGCTGAAGGAGCCACTGCGATCCCAGCTGCAGACTCTGAAGCAGCACAGGCAGAACTGCGAAGAACTGCAGCAGGAGTACGACCAAATCCAGATCCAGTCCGAGGAACAGGGTCTACACTGCGAGAGTCAGATCACGGCAGTGTTCGACATGATGCAGCGCCACCTACAGGAGCAGCAGGACAAAGCTGTCAGAGCTCTGAGAAAGGAGCAGGACAGACAGGGTCACCTCCTCATGTCCCAGAGGAAAACACTCAAAGATAAACTGTCCTCGGTGAACAAAAGCATACAACAGCTGGAGACACATCTGCAGACTCAAACGCAAGACTTTCTATTGATGCCCAGACCTCCAGCCGGTCCCCTTGAGCCTCCTCTGCCCACAGGACTGAGGCAAGACCAGGAGAAACCTTCCACCCCAACTGGACTGGAGCAGGACCTGGAAAAACCATCTCCCCCTACTGGACTGATGCTAGACCAGGCCAAACTGCTGGGAAATCTTGGCTTCAGAGTCTGGAGGAGTTTGAGGAGAGCCGTACAGCACACCCCAGTCCTCCTTGACCCAAACACCGCAAACAGATGGCTTCATGTGTCTGAGGACCTCAGCCGGGTAAGAAGAGAAGATACTTATCAAGACCACCTCCCGGACGTCCCAGAGAGGTTCAGTAAGTACACCTCAGTCCTGGGCTCCGAGGGCTTCCGCTCAGGGACACACCAGTGGGACGTGGAGGTGGGAGACCATCCAGACTGGATCATCGGCGTCGCTAAAGAGTCAGTGGACAAGACAGGAGAGACATTTGCTTCGCCTGAATTTGGAATCTGGGGTTTATGTCACGGAGATGGGGGATACTCAAACGGCGATGATGAACCGGTGGCTGTGGCGAAGAGTCCGGAGAAGATCAGGGTCAAACTGGACTACGGCAGAGGGACAGTGTCTTTCTACAACGCTGACCACATGACACACCTGTACGTGTACACACACACCTTCACAGAGAAGATGTTTCCTTATTTTTACATCGGAGAAAGTGAAGAAGCAAAAACCAAAGAGATTCATATCTGTGAGACTCTGGATGTTTGAAGAGGGAAGACACTCGGGATCAGAGAACTTTGTTATTATCAGTACCATCCAGTCATATTTGTACTAAAATATTACTTCAAATTATTTTACTCCATTAACCTGGTCTGTCGTTGTGTCCCTGGGCAAGACACTTAACCCCACTTTGCCTGAAGCCCCCGCTGAAAGATCAAGGCCATATCTGTGTTGAAGGAGCAGCCATCTTCCTGTGGACCTACCCCCTGCAGAGGATCAGACAGAGACTGGTGCTTTGTGAACTGGGTGCAGCTCTGAATGCCGCCCCCTGACCCAGAAATGGATAATTAAGGGATGAAAATGAATGAATGAAGAAACTATCAAAAACTCTAGAGTGCTCTTGGGGAACTACTTACACCATTCGAAAGTGAAAAGTAAATACCCATAAGCCACACTGATTTAGAGAGTTTTGATTAGATTATTAACATTTTCAGACAAAACACAGTCACACTGGGAATGAGAAAGGCCAAATACCTCAACAACAGATGATTGTGATTATCGTAACATTTTGGATCAGTGTGTGTTTAACTTGACTTGTTCTATAGCTGCTTAAAGTCACTGTCAGCCACTTCCATATACACACAACTCCTATTCCTCTTCTTCCCTTTTGTTTTCAACCTCTAATGGGAGAATGAGCCAATCTGAACCCACGTACGGAGACAAAGTGTCGGTGTTTTCTCATTAACATGCAGCCTCTGGCACCAGAAACCATTAGTAATACAAATAAACAACATTTGAGCAAAGAAAGAATGCATAATTACACGTCGCTTTTCAATATTTGTCTCACCTTGACATGGATTGTGTTGTTGGTGTGTTTACAGACGGGTGGTGGGTATTATTCTTGTGAGGACTGGGCTTTTGGCGTTATCGGTTATAGTTGTAATGAAGCGGTGCATTGAGAGTAGCTAGCACAGCACATGGTCGGTTTAGAAATTTGCTTTTTTAACACTTTTTAATCATCTCTGTCCAGAAAGATAAGTTAGTAAAGAACTGTGTGTGTGTCAGAGCAATTCTTTCTCGAATGCAGATCTGTTATTCATCAGATTATCAATACTCCATGTGTTTTCATTTAAGCTAACCCAGTTATAGTAAAGACAGAAGACTACAAACTGGGGCCCCCAAAAAGTAGGTCTGAACTTGTTTGAGAAGATAAGTCAGCATTTTTGTGGGGGACGGAATTATATACTGTACATAGCTCGGGTTTTGGACACAGGGACAGGGCAGGGAGAGATGATCTTTTCAGCATTTATTGAAACAGGAGAATAAATGTTTTTAATAGAATTTGGGATGTCTTTGGTCTTCCTTTCTGGTCAAATTTGAAGTATGCAACGTTATACATGATTGTAAATCAGATTTCCCAATGAAAACCATTGCACAATGTTATTATTATCAACGACTCTTCTGGCCACCCTGGAAAAGCCATGTTCCAGCTTCTTCCCTCTGGCAGAAGATATCGCTCTCTGAGATGCAGGACATCTTGTTACCCTAACAGTTTTTATCCACAGGCTGTTATCAGTGTGAACAGAGCACTTTAATGATTTACACTTGTTTTAAAACTGTTTTAGTCGATCCATTTCACAGTGACATTTGTTTACTGTTTTATTTCTGTCTTTTACTGTTGTTTTATGTCTGTACTTGTCTTGTGCACACTTTTGCTAGTGTATTCCAATGTGGTTTTACTGCAATTAAATGAATCTGAATCTGAATGTATTTAATTCTAAACATTGAACCCAGAGGTAAAGTAGGCAACAGCACACTCTTCTTATTTTGGTCCAGTTTTGGTTCAGTTTAAGTTTGTTAAAAAAAAACATATATAAAAATCAGGTTAAAAAATAGGCAAAATACCTCATTAACGTAACAAAAATAATCATATGCAAAAGATGACAACTTTCCCGCAACCTTCCAGAAAACGACAAAAAACCATAACCATAACGTCTAAATACTCCTGCTCCCCTCGACAACAGCGGTACCACAGTTTGGGAAACACTGATCTGGACGGTGCCCAGTGTCTCCTCTCGCCGGGATCACTGGAAGGAGGACAAACAGCACACTCGCCTGAACATCTCGCCTGCTCCTGTTTAACCAGAACAAATCCACTTAAGATTTGATTCTTGTCTCAGGCATCGGAGCCAGGTTTTCCATTTGGACTCGCAGCTGTTCCATTTGTGTCCTGCTTTTCTCGGCTGGAGGACAGGTGGTAAGGTTTGGACGCTATTACCTCTCTGTCCATTGTCCTGGGCCTTGACAGACACTGTGAGGACGCATTTCCTGTTATTTACCAGTCTGCTGCTGCTGCTGCTGCTGCTGCTACTGCTACTGATGCTATACTGCTGCTGCTAATGCGGAGGAGATGCGAGCCTCATCAAGCTGTCACTCCAGCCCACGAGTACAGACTAAAGCAAAGGAAAAGGCGCTTTGTTTATACACGAAGAATACACAATAAAAAGCTAAACTGAGACTATGTTGTGCTACTTTGACATGCTGCAGGTTTATTTCCTGTATTGTTCTGTATTTTGTCGACCCTTTGTATCTTCTTTAGTTCTACACTGCAGAAAGTGGTGGAAGAAATTGATGAAATATGGCAGAATGCAATCTCTGGTCTCTCTCTGGCCTCGGTGGTCTCTCTCTGGTCTCTCTCTGGTCTCTCTCTAGTCTCTCTCTGGCCTCTCTCTGGTCTCTCTATAGTCTCTCTCTGGCCTTGCTCTGGTCTCTCTGGTCCCTCTCTCTAGTCTCTCTCTAGTCTCTCTCTCTGGTCTCTCTCTCTGGTCCCTCTCTCTAGTCTCTCTCTCTGGTCTCTCTCTCTAGTCTCTCTCTCTGGTCTCTCTCTCTAGTCTCTCTCTCTGGTCTCTCTCTCTAGTCTCTCTCTGGTCTCTCTCTAGTCTCTCTCTGGTCTCTCTCTCTGGTCTCTCTCTGGTCTCTTTCTCTGGTCTTTCTCTCTTGTCTCTCTCTGGTCTCTCTCTGGTCTCTCTCTCTAGTCTCTCTCTGGTCCCCTTTCTTGGTCTCTCTCTGGTCTCTCTCTCTGGTCTCTCTCTGGTCTCTCTCTCTGGTCTCTCTCTGGTCTCTCTCTCTGGTCTCTCTCTGGTCTCTCTCTGGTCTCTCTCTGGTCCCCTTTCTTGGTCTCTCTCTGGTCTCTCTCTGGTCTCTCTCTGGTCTCTCTCTGGTCTCTGTATCTTTCGCCCCAGTTTAGTTACAGTTTGTATTTTTACGCTGGATTTTGTAATTGCTTTGATTAAACATTTACTTTCGGGGCCCCGCCTACTTTCTCTTGCTCATCACATGAATTACAACCACACTTTTGAACCTCTTCTTCCAACTTCTTTTGAGCCTTTGTTCTCCAGTAAAACTTTCCTTGAAAAACACAAAAACATAAACAAACTTTAGAGCCGTGTCCCACAACGCCTCAAAACCCCCGGCCGTCACACACACACACACACACATTCACATAATCAATCCTTTCGGGAATTTCGTCTTAGAATCGAAGCGCTCGAAAGCCTCACCCAGCGTCCCCCCAAACCCGATTACACCAACTCGTAAAAAAAACCCAAACGCTGGCCTTCCCGTGAACTTCTCGCAAACTTTTTAGTCCTTTCCGAAGTACAGCGCCATTAAATTCTCCTCCGCCGCCGATAGAGTTGCAAATTGAGTGTGTTTATGACCTTAAACTTTATATGTGTTTTGACTTTGCGTGGCCGGAACGGTTCACTCCAACAAGCTCCTTCCTCGCCCATATTTGGAGTTCAGACATTACTTTTTGGTGCAAGGTTAGTTTTCTCCCTGAAGCAATATTTCTTCTTTCTGAGTGGTTCAAGGATGGCTCAAATTAGGTTTTCTTTTTACAACAAATAATACAACAAATAGGCAATCCCTGTGGACTTTCTCTCTCTCTCTCTCTCCTTCGTTGTCTGTCTCTCTCTTTGTCTCTCTGTCTTTATTTTTCTGCTTTTCTCTCTCTCTCTCTTTCGCTCTCTCTCCTGTGATATTAGTTTTATAGTTTTTTGTTAAATGGAATGAGACTCAAATCTCTCTCTGTCTTTCTCTGTCTCTCTCTCTACCTCTCTGTCTCTCTCCCTCTCTCTCTCTCTCTCGCCCTCTCCCCCTTTTAGTATAAAGTTTTATTGTTTGTAGTTGTTCTTCCTACTTCATTAGATGGAGTGTGACTCGGATCTCTCCCTCTCTGTCTCTCTCTCTCTACCTCTGTCTCTCTCTCTCTCTTCCTCTCTGTCTCTCTCTGTCTCTCTCTCTCTCTCCGTCTCACTGTCTCTGTCTCTCTCTCTCTCTCAACATAAAGTGTTATTGTTTGTTGTTCTTCCTGCTTCATTAGACGGACTGAGACTCGGAGAAGTGATGGAGTAGTTTCTGGGCGATCGGGGCAGAGCTTGTGGCTAATGGGGTAAAGTGGCCCCAAAAACAACCATTCTGCAGTTTTTACTTGACCATTAGAAACTTGAGCCAAACTTTATCATAATGATCCACTCGGAATATGCATCCGGAATGTGGAAGTGCACAGCGCAGTGGCAGAGTGGTTAGCTGTTGGATAATTACAGCAGGAATCGGTCCAGGATGTGCTTCTCCGTTGGTTCTCGGTAGTTTTGTCCATATTTTGTGAATTCGTTTTTTGTGGCCGTCATGAGCAAAGATAATGACGACAGATAACTTAAATAAAGCTAAAATGCTTAGATTTGCAAAATGTCTCTTGATATGAGTAAAAAAAAAATTCTATTCGACAAAAATCGTTGAATTCTACAAACAAAATGTTACAAAAACATTTTTTTTAAATCAGAAATATTGCTATTGATTCATCAATCCATTTTCTACCGTTTTATTTGTTTCCAGGTTGTAGAGATATTCAGCCAAAATGATGCCAGGATATATGATTTTTCTACATTAAATCTACAGTATTACAAATAACAGTCATTTAGACTCAGAGAGATTCAATTTTAGCCATTTTTGGGAACATTTTTCAACGTTTGTGTCAATTTGAGTATGAA